CATTGTGAAGCAGAATTCACTAAGCGTTGGACTGTTCACCCACTAACAGGGAACGTGAGCTGGGATTAGATCGTCGTGAGACAGGTTAGTTTTAGCCTACTAATGATGTGTTGTTGCAATAGCAATCCTGCCCAGTACGAGAGGAACATATATATATATATATATTAAAGAGTCTTAAAATGACAGGAAAGTAGTTCATGCAGCAGAGCAACAATGAGTTAGCAGGCGATCTGCAGGCTGGTAGCAAACCTGACAGCCCTGGAGACAGAGGGGCCTAATTTCTATTTGGGTCACGGTCACCCAACAGTTACAATGAAAAATGACAATCCGTAGGCTTGAGGTAGTGTTTGGAGAAGAGAAATATGTAGGTTTTAGTTCCTGGGAGCACAGGCTTTGGCATATAGCAAGGTCTATATAGCTGTTTTCAAATGCTGAAAGCTATTAATACAAGTTATCAAACTGCAAAACAAAGTGATCCACTATAAATTATGTTGACCATGCAAAAACAAATGACCCCACCCTCCTTGAATGGCCTTCTAATGCCAATTTTACAAATGTAATGCACTGCGCTAAACATTGTGACAGGCCTACTTTAAACATTAAGTGGAACCTCAGTTAAGTGAAGCTCATTGCCTGTTGCCAGATATTAAGCCATACTGGAATGCAGGGCTACTGAATTAATCAATTGCTCATCGCGATTTTGACTTCCCACAACTAAATGAACATGACTGACTGAGGTACTGGCATGTCAAACGCTCTGCTCAAACAAAACAGCCCATGAACAAAAAAAAATCTAATAATCTTGAGTAAATCTGGCATGAGAACACCTTATTTCACTTATTTCGATGTCATTTTGGGTCACACAGCTGTCTAGGTTTTATACACTGCAGTAACTGTGTGGAGACTAGAAGCTGCTTAGCTGGCTTCCACCGCAGCCAGACTAATCATGCTGTCTGCATTACTGATGGCACATGGAACAATATGTGTTCAAGTGCTCACTGTAAATAAATCAAATTAAAAAGAGCCAGTGTAAAGGGGCATAGAATTTGCCAAGGGAATATCTGGGAGTATTTTAGGTGGTACTGCTTTAAGAAATGTCCCAGTTTGCGTTCATGCTTCTTTATCACGGCAGCATCAGGTCAGACTCCAGCGTTCATCTAATCTGCCTGCATTACTGGTGGTGTCTCTGCCAACGCACCCACTAGATGAAATTATCCTGCTCTGAGTGGCTGACAGATGGGCACACATCCTTCATGATCCAGGAGTTTACATAAAAATACTGCATAATGCAGAGTGTACACTTTTTTCAAATTAAATTACCATGACTACGTTTATCACATTCTGCTCATGACAACTTAAACCAAGTGACAAAATATGCAACACTGATATTCTACATAGTGAGTCCACAGTGTCAAAATCTACACTAAATACACACCATTAATTGAAACTGAAGTCCATTAAGTTTTTGAAACACAACTTTTCTAATGTTTTTATGACTATATTATTAGCATAGCAAATTTCTAGCCAAAAACATTTAAACCATCCATATCCTGTGAACCATAGATATGAAACCACACACAGCACTGCATGTGTGGATCCTCCTAACAGCTACTGTGACGCTGCCTGCTGCTCCCTGTCGTTAAGTTGAGCTTTGGACAGTCCGTTGGTATGTGAAGAACTTGGCACCACCCTGACCAAGGCAGCAGGCTGGACAGTCAGCAGCAGAGGTGTGAGAGAGCGGTTTCACGTGATTGTCTGTTTTTACTGTCCAAAACCGTCTTAATGCAAACTACACTCCATATTTATGTAAACTACACAATACGTGATCTGCTGTAAGTACAATAATTGTCTTTATTGTTCTACTCTCTAAAATCACGAAACATTTGCCAGTGCTGGCACATTTGACTAATTGTCTGATAAACTGCATCCATCCAGAACACACATGTAAATTGTTAACTGTCACAATATCTGCATGTAAATAAATGCAGGGAGTGACAGCTGAGGGCCAATGTCCTCCGGCAGCCAACGGGGCTGGGCGGCGGCTGCTGCTTCAGTCATGGCCGACAAGCTAATGTAGCCGCCTACACAACCGTTTAATTCCGGTGGAATTTGACTAATTCACTGATAACACCGAGAGGATGACCTGAGCCTGGAGGCCTATTTCCGAGAATATTTAGGAAGCAGATTTGCTTAAGATTCTGCAACATTACGCTAGAAGCTAACGGACTAGCTAGCTAGCTAGCTGACAGCAGCTCATTGCAAAGCCCTGGTCTGCATTTGCGAACGTGAATATATAAACTGAATAACCAGTTTCCAGCCAGAACACGTGCCACGTATCTAACATAAAAATTATCGACTCGTGCATGTTTAAATCAACCGTTTTGTTTAAATCCAACGCAGATCTAAGGTGTCAATGAAAGCTAATGTGAATCGGTAGGGTGGCTAATGCTAACCTTGATATGATATCTGTTCTTCAGACCGCTTAAGAGGCAAACTGGCAAGGCTCGTCTGAAGTCATTTGCTTTATTTGAATCACAATGTTGTAAATATCATTCAACAATGGCAATTATTGCAACTGGTTGACATTAGCCACCCTGCTAGCGAATGCGTAGAAGCCGAGGATCACTAAAGTGAATGAATTACAGGACAGCTATGAAAGCCCGGTCTGCACCATGTTTTTAATTTCTGTTTGAACGACCAGCTCGAAAAAAAATAGAGTAATTTTTCGTACCTGGTGTGTTTACGAAAGAGCTTAAGAAGTGGTGGTTGTCCAGGCGAGTCGACGACGGAGGATGGGGGCTGCTTTATGGGACGGCTGTTTTTTTAACCAAATGTGACGTAATTTTCTGCAGCTGTACGGAAAGACCCGACGTGTACCGAAAAGAGCCGAAACGCTGCCCGACGGTACTTCAGTTCAAATGACCATATCTGTATCCCTTTTAGCACTAACAGTGGTTATGGCAGAGCTGAAAGATTGTGGACTGGCTTTTAGACTACGTTTACAAATGTTGAAATAAACCTGTTTAGTGCTGTATATGCTTTGTAAGGCAACAAGCTGGAAAACTAGGACAGACAACTTGCTGTTTGCTGCTCATGCACATAATTGATCAAACCAAACGAAATTAGTGCACCGCAATACAGGGCTGAGTGTTATTAAACTAGGCCACTGTGTACCTATTCTAGGCCATACAGTTGACTGAGAATGCATTTATCACTGTGTGAACACTGAGCTATTAAGTCTGTGTTCATCCATGAATAAAAAGCATTACAGCCTTTACACAACCTCCCTCTAAAACACTTCTGTTGGCTGTGGCAATATGCAGCAGCATCTCCATCAGCTGACTCCCACAAGGACTGAGCAGACAGGAAACCTCTGTTCATGAGCTGTTGCATATTGGTAGATGCATTCATATTGCCATCTTTAACAGCTGTGCTCTGATTTCAACTGAAACCATTAATTAAAAGAAATCTAATCAACCTAATCAGTTTGAATGAGGTGAAAAAAACATTTTATTTTTGTTTTAATGCTACATGTACTTACAAATCACTCCATTATTAAATACACTCTATGAAACAGTTATGACAAAAGACAACACAAATATAGTGATTCTAATCAAGTAACATGTGTAACTGTAAACCCCAAAATTATCATTTTGACACACACACTGCCTTGAACCAGCCAAAGGACAGTGATAGCACCAATGTTTTCAGCTCCATATCAACAACAAGCATAGTTACATTTAGGTTCTTCATGGTTCTTGTAGATGGTTTGACTATAAAGTTGTATAAATTTGAAAAACAAGTGAATCATTTTAGTATATAGCAGTACAAATGCAGTGCAATTCTGTTTGTTTTCCTGATAACATTAGGACTGTCATGACAAGCTAAGGTTGAAAAAAAAAAACCTTCTTTATATTTTTGGCATATAAAATGCAAACAGCCTTCCTTATTAAATAAAGGGTTTCTAAGACAACATTCAATCTGCAAAGCTGCTGAGAGAAACAGTTGCTCTTGTAAAAACTGGAAATACACAAGGATTTTGTGCTGATGCCGTCCTTTAAGATCAACCAACAAATTCCCAATAAACCAGAGCAAATACTGTAAAAAGAAAAGAAAAAGCTACAAAATGTCTTCAAGACTAGACAATGCTTTGTTTTTGAATCCCAGCAATGTTTGTTCAGTTTTCAACATTACAATAAAATGGGAGAACGAGGAACAGAAAACATAGCATCAAGAAGACAAGGGCTATAACAAGGATGATACTTAGTGCAGTTCATGTAAACAGTGGGGGAACATGTCTCCCTGTACATAATATAAAAAAAAGTCATGTTTTGTTATGCTGACATGTATCCATGCAGACTGGTAGTAAACAACCAAATTAGTTTGTATGTTGCAAAGTGCCAAATGAGCATTTCCTAACACAAGCACATTTTTATTACACATCCTTTATCACCTCGCTAAGTTAATATGATTTTCATAAATTATTTTATGCTTGATGCATTGTGAATTTGTGCCTCTTCTCTGTATTGTGAAGTATCACAATGTGTTAGGAATGGATTTAGCAGATTTAAGCATCTGATTTATTGAATCCGTGTAAAGGTATTGTTGAATGTGATCATCAATTTATCGACAAGCACTTCAACAAATGCCTTGTCTTGTTAATATAAAGATGCTGCAAGTACAGTTGTCATGTGATTATTTCACCTTTTAACCCTCTGAACCCCAAAGTCTGCCAGCAGGTTTGCAATGGGTGTTACCTTTAAAACTGGCCCTAATTACAGTACGTATCAGTCAGAAAAGAAGATGAAACAAAATATTTTCCACTTTCCAACAGTCCTTTAAACAAACCCTGTGTGGTTTCCATCAGGAAAATGAACCAAGGTTTAACCAACAAAATCACTTCATTCTACGTATCGTTTAAAAAAATAAATAAATAAAATCAAAAAATTTGCAATAGATCCTGTAAAACACTAAAAATTCTGTGCTCCTCGGCACAACTGAGAAGCTGTGAGAGACCAACATTCAAAATATGAGATTAACTGCAGGCTGTGATTACACAGTTGAGTAGACAATTTTTGTTTATAATCAGGATTTAAAGCTTAGATTTGGTGAATTTTCTTGATGGAATGTTACAGAACTCCAGAAATGTCTCAATGAAAGGAAAATAAAACACACTTTATCAATAAAAATAATAACTGCAGTATGGCTCAAAAACAATACACAGGGGAGCAAGTTGCCAGTGTGTTGTTGGAAGATGCATTCAGCATGGTGAAAGATCTCTCTGGACTTGATGTCGACAAGAGAGCAGAATGGGTTAGACTGGAGTAGAGACGAGTGGAGAGCAGAGCAGAGTTAATGCATCGGTCCGCTATTTGTCCTTCTGGTGGCTTGACTGTAGATGTTGAAACACGACCGTCGCTGACTGCTTGTTCAGACGGAATCCAAAGACAACTATGGACTGTTGGGTTCTCTGTTCCCTTTTTAAAATTCACAAGGTCTTTACCTTAGTATATAAAGTACTATGAGATAACATACTATGCTGTCAATTGGCACTGTATGAATAAAACTGAACTGAATTTAACTGAATGCACAGAGCAGTCTGAAAAACATTTATAGAAGCTGTAAATATGTAAATAGTTACAAAAAAACAACAAAAAAACACATGGAACACCTTTTTCTCAGTGTTGCTATCACCTGTGGTCAGTTGGAAAATTCTGAATATGTTGATTCCTGTTTTATGATTTATGGCCTTGTAAGTTTGCTATTGTGCACAAACTACTTTTTCTGAGTTCTCTCTACTTGTAGCCATGGCTGTGCAGTTTTCCGTGAGGTGCAGGACTTTATAATGTAGTGAGAAATGAGCCCACAATGAGTAAAAATGTGACTGGAGCAGAACAGCCAAAAACTGCTTGAGGTTTAGAGAGTTAAAAAATTAGATTCTTAGTGTCCATTAGACAACAACAAGGAGCTGTATGAGTGGCAGGAAGCACGGTAAACAGCATGCCACAGAATATTACTATATATTACCTCCTCTATGTCATCAAGGCATTTTTAAATTCGATATTATGATTGCAAAAAAAAATCAGAATTTCACTTTTTAATCCAGTGGAATATGTGCTCTCAGATGGGTGAGGGGGCCCGCAGTGTGCTACTGAGAGCTACATCTCCAAATACATTGGCATAAGAGGCTTTGAGAAACTGGACGTAGTTCTGCAGGCTTCGGTTGGTGCTGTCTGACTGCTCTAGGCGATCCTTCAAGTCCTGATGTCGGCTCTGGTATCGCCTCTCCACCTGAGTATTATAAATACATATTGTACAGACTTGCTGACAAGTTGTACAAATAAAATTTGAGTCAACCATTACCGGAAGCCTTTACCTCCTCTTTGCTGCGTCTCAGTTGGTTGATTTCTGAGGTAGTCTTGCTAAGTTGGGTCTCCAGGTCCAACATCTTAGACTGGATGGAGCGCTCTTTGGTTGCTGCACGTTCTCTGGTCTCTGACATCTAGAGATAAATTTGTCACATTGGATTTAATTAATGGATGTTAGTGAAACATAGCACTACAGAGATGAGTCACTTTAGATGCTTTGATTTTTTTATCCATCAGGTAATACCACAGGGTTACATCTGATCATCTGATTAATAAGCCCAAACATACAGTCAGGTCCAAAACTATTTGGACAGTGACACAATTTTTTTGTAATCTTGCTACTGTACCCCAAAACAGTAGATTTGAAATGTTTAGGTGTAAGTGTAGACTCTCAGCTTTAATTCAAGGGCTTTAACAAATATCTTGTATGGTAAAACGGTTTAGGAATAACAGGCAATTTTTTAGACTGTTCCTTTATCAATGGCTCAAAAGTAATTGGTCAATCGAACAAAATTCTAAAAGTAAGGAACATTTTTAATATTTAGATGCAGATCCTTTGCAGTCATTGATTAGCTGAAGTCAGGAACCAAAGAGAATCACCACATGCTGAGGTTCCTCCCTTGAGATGCTTTGCCAGGTATTTACTGCTGCCACCTTTGGTTGCTGCTACTTTATGGGTTTACTTTCTGCCCTCAGTTTTGTCTTCAGTAAGTGAAATGGAGCTCATTTGGGTGTCAGGTGCGTGACACTGCGGTGTGAGAACAGTCCTTTGCTTTGCCTTTTAAGTTCTGCATACATTCTCAGTCATCTAGAATTTGAGATCATGGAATATCTAAGTGCTAAAACAAGAGCAGCTGAACTTGCTTGAGTTTGTGGAAGAAGTTTTGCCTTTCATCCCAAAAGGCTTCGTAAGTGGTGTAAAGTCCAGCTGCCGTCGTTGTAGCACTTAAATAAGCTCTTGGGAAGCTTTCACAGTCATGTATTGGGTCATCATCCATCTGTGCTGTGAAGCATCATCATATCAGTTCTGCAGCAGAATTGATCCTGCTACTTCCATCAGCAGTCACATCATTAATAACCACCAACAATCCAGTTCCATTGGCAGCCATACATACATGAGGTGATGGAAAGAGGTAAAATCACCAAAAATTATGTCACTGCCAAATACTTAAGAAACTATTTTCAGGCACAAGAAGACCCAGAAGTCTAATAAATATTTCTGACTTCTGTTCCCTAAAACCTTTGCATAGTACTGTGTATCTCTAACAAAGTGCACTTCAAGACATGAAAACACTTATAATTACACAGTCATACACAAAGAAGCGCAGAATTACAAAAACACAATCGCCGTAGATTCCACTGTGTCACCAGACGGCACAGCATTTTTTGCAAAAGAACTTTGCATCAGCTGACTGTGTCATTGCAGAGGTTTTTACTAAAATGAGTGAGAGAGCATCCCTTTTGACTGCTGCCCTGTCATTCTTTTACTGTATTCTTTAGCCACACACTTCTTATTACCAGTTGGTCTGTGCTGTGTGTATGTGCAGTGTGTGACCAAGTGGTTTCATGGTGACTTCTTGCTACTGTTGGGCTTGGGATTAACTGTGTTGGGTATAAAGTGCTATATAAATAAAAATGAGTTGAGTTGAGGGTTGAGTTGATTCCTTCAGACCTGTTGGCGAGCATCATCTAAAGCCTCCTCCAGCTTTTGGCTCAGCAGTGAACATTCCCTTGTTTTTTCTTCCAGACGGAGTTGATTGCCATGGATCGTTTCTTCCCGTTTGGCAACAACAGCCAGCAGGTCACTGTTCTGACTGCCAGCCTCCTCCAGTTTTCTAAGGGTGACATAAGAACCAACAGTGACAACAGGGAGAGGTTAGAATTAAAGGGAATCTCCCCCACTTTTACACATCAAATTGTGTTTCCAGCTGTTGGGGAGTGTTACTGCATATATACAAAGGTTACTTTATGTCTTTTGTGTCTCCAGTGGGAGCTGTTTGAAGTCTGACAAACATGTATTTATATAGCATAATACACAATAAAGGGTTTTACCACAAAATGAGAAAGTGTAACAGCAAGAGCTAGGAATAAATACTGTGAGTTCATGTTGGCCATTATGTTAAATATTTGCTTTATAGTCTGGACAGTGTCAAAGCCAGTGAAGTAGCAGAAAGGGTAGCTGACCTTTCCAAACTCTCCATTCGCTGCTGAAGCTGTCTGTTCTCGTCCAGCAGCACCTTGTTCTTCTGTCTAAGAAGCTCCATTTGGCTGCCCTGAGTCTCCACCTGAAACAACAGAAGACGCGTCCTGCATCAAGAATTTGGCTTCATTTTAATGGTTATAACTAACACTAAACGCACATAAAGGTGGTCTAACAAGATTATTGAGACATTTTTAAAACGTTTGAACTCATCAACTGAACAGAAAAAGCTGTCAAACAAAAAGTACTGAGGATCATGATATGTGATCTCAATCTTCCTGGTGTGACAGATAAACATGTGTGAAGATATTTTTCTCTGAGTCTGTGTGCTACTCATGTTCATGCATTTTCTCTTGTACAATTAGCATCCTGCAAATAACCAGACAAATCTGACTCTGCATTCATATCATAATGTAAAATCCAATATGAAAGTCAGTCTTTTCGATGGGTTTCTGCTTTTGTCTATCCATCCTATTCTCAGTCATTACTCTGTTGTTCTAACTTGACCTTCATGCGGAGATCAGTCAGGGTTGTGCTGAGCTCCATGCTGCGCCTTTCCTGGCTGCGCTCCCTGTCCTGAGCCTCCTGCAGCAGCAGCTGGGTGCGCTGCAAGGCTTCAGGAAGAGGCTCCAGCTCTGCCAGTCGGCCCAGAAGCTCCCTGCGAACCTCCTCTATCTCCTGCTCCAGCTCCCCCCTCACCACCTGGGCCTCCTGCTCCGCTTGAGCCAGTCGAGCACAGTACTCATCTGCCTCGGCTCGGGTTTTTCCAACCTGTGCGGATTTGGTTCACAGAGGGAAAACTGGGTTCAGACTTTTCATTGACATCAACAGTGCCCCACGCTATACTACAACAGTCAGATAATGTGGTATCCTTGGTGTCAGAACTGAGAGAGAAATTTGCAGCAGCGTCACACACCTGCACCTTGTAGCTGTCCAGCAGACTTTCATATTGTTTGATGGAAGCTTTGACCTGCTGGAGCTCTGACTGAGACAAGGTCAGCTTCTCTTCCACTGCAGATGCTGTAGCCTAAGAGGACCATACAACATTAACTAATGCTTCACCACTTATTAAATTAACAGGACAGTCCACTCTCCTAATGTAATAAAAGTCACTGTAAGTCTATCAGGAATACAAATGGGAATAGGAATACCATTATCTAAGACACCAAAGCATAATAGAGATGTAGAAATTCTAATCAGGGCAAGTCAGGGTAATATTTAGGCTTTCTGTGGACTGCTAGCTGTTTCACCTTGAGGGACTGATTCTCCAGTTTGGCAGCTGTGCTTTCTGTGGTCAGTCCATGCAGGTGATCTATCAGCACTTCTCTCTCTGCTCTGCCTTTGTCCTCAGTACTCTGCAGCTGCTCGGTCAGTTCTGCTATACGGCTGTTGAAATGATAAAGGTATCATATTGTCATTTATACCAACAAAACACCTCTTTAAAAACAAAACAAAACAAAACAAAAAAAACAGTGGATTAAGGGTTTAAATTTAGCACTGCAGTAGACAAACCACAAAATAAATACGTAGAATAAAGCTTAATTCAAAATTAATATTCTGTCCACATGTCCTCTCTCTCCCTTGTGTGCTTGTTGACCCATCTCTCTGCTGCTGTTTGTTTCCCTCAGCTATCTGAATAAAGGTGTGCTTGACTTTTGCCTGATGTGTTTGTGCAGACTGTGTTTTCTTTTTTATGTCTTCATCATGGTAAGGAGTTCATGTGGCTTGAAGGCCACAAGGTTCATGAAATTTGCAACACGGAAGCTGCAACTTGCAACTTGATATCATCTTCTCTCACAGTAATTTGGACACTTTTAACTCATCAAGAGAAGCACCATACTTGTGACCCCTGCATGAGCATGGGAGAGGACTGTAGACCAGGATCATCTACCTGCAATTTACAAGGGACAGTTACTTTGAGATAGGATGCTAGTGGCGACATGTTTCTGGCTTAATTTATTTTCCTTATTTCTTTCCAAGTTTTTTCGAGGCCTAAGGACAGTAGCTGTCAAATGCTTGACAGTTTGTAAAGCCCCTCAAGGTAAAGTTGTTATTTCTGATATTGGGCCATATCAATTGCATTGGCCTGGCTTGTATCTGCATAATGTTTAAGAATCATTTTTAGATGTTTTTAGCATGTTTTGACACAGCAGCTTGTCTATTTCTTGCCAGGAAAATGTTGTCACTCTTACAGCCGCTTCAGGGTCTTCACACAAGATTTGACAAGTGCATCGTCAAGTTTAAAGTTCGTCCAGGTAGACTAAGAAAACTGTTTTTTTTTTTGTACTGAGCCCCATATTTCCTCTCATACACACTAATACATATCCGATGAACGCTAGACACGAGATATGTGCCCAAACTTCATACTACGTGATTGTACCAATAATGGTGACAGAGCACTATTTAATAGGATGTCAGTTTTTGCAACTCTGTTGAGAGTTTCACGTTTAAAAACCTCCCAAAAAGCAAATAAAATGCTTTTATGGTGAATATATCATTTTCCAATCTGTCACCAGAGCTTGCACTTCCCTGTGTGCCATTATCTTCACAGTGCCTGACTCTCATCACCACAGATGCTTCTACTTGTCTGCAGCTGGATACATTATGCAGTTGCAATTACCTGTTTAACAGCGACAGTTTGATTTCCAATTGACTCTTGTCTTTAACTTCTTGTGCATAGCGACTTTGCCAAGTCTCAGCTGCTGACAGGGCATTTGCCACCTGCTTCTCCTGTTCAAAGATGTAAAAAAAGATTTTTATCATCACAGATTGTTTGTGCTTAATTCAGACACCAGCACAGACACGCTGCTATTAACTGGAAAAAAAAAATAGTGTGGATGTTACTAGTGGGTACATCTCTGACTGACAAGACTCCTGCTCTATGCATACCATGTTCAGAAGCTGGACGCTTAGCTGGCCTGCTGTGTCCTCACTGCGCTCAGCTCGATGTTTCTGGGCTCGAGTGGCTCTTTTCAAAGCCTCTCGATCTGCGGTGGCCTGCTGCTTCAGTGTTGTCAGCTGCTCGGTCAGATGCTCCATCTCCACTTTCTGCTGGCTGGCTGCTCGTTGCAGGTTCTGAACCCGTTGCAAAGACAAAAACAAGGATTACAGCTGGGTTCACCGTTTGTGCTCTTCATTTGTATATAGAGTGTCAAGATAGTTAGCTTTACACATGCAGACACACTGACAAAAACCATCTGAGAGCAGTAACCTTAACTGCAAAATCACTCAAATGTTTTGTTAACCAGTATATCATTCAAATACACAAGCTTTAATAACATGCGTTGTATAATATACAACATAACATGCATACTGATAATTACTCATGATGGCGTTTGCTAGGACAGACAGATCCGATGACAAACCTTTATCTGCACAGTAAGCCGGTTGTTCTCAGCTTCTTTGCTGCGGTGCTGTCCTTGTAAATGAGCTCTTGTTGACTCCAGACTCTTGGATAAATCTGCTGCACTCTTGGCGTTGTCCTGCATTCCAAAACCCAACAGAATTAACATGAGTAACACCTATGTATTGGCCTTGGACCTACACAACTAAAAGTTTTAACTTTTCAGTGAGATACTGCTGTATTTTTGATGCCACACATTGACAGTCATTTTTACAATACAAGGCATCACAAATAGCAACAGCTGTGCTGACAATACCTTCTCATTATCTAAAAGTTTGGAGAGTTGATTAACTTCTCTGTCCTTCTCTTGAAGTTTCACCACAAGATGCTGTAAATGGAAAGACAAGGCAAGCTTTACAAGAGACATTACAGAGCCATGAAAAAGTATTTGCCCCTTTCTCGAATTCTTATTTTTTTGAATATGTCCCCCACTTAAATGTTTAAGACCATCAAACAAATTTAAATGGTAGACAAAGATGAACAAAGTAAACACAAAATGCAGTTTTTAAATAATGATTTTATCTATTAAGGAAAAAATTACTCAAACCTACCTGGCTCTATGTGAAAAAAATAATTGTTAAATCATGAATTAACTGTGGCTAATCACATTTTTTGGAAAGCTAAATTCAATTTCACTGACTACACCCAAGCCTGCTGAATCAAGAAATCACTTAAATAGAACCTGTCTGACAAAATGAAGCTTCATCTTGTTGCTTCATGTTGCTGCTGAGGGTGGCCCAACCAGTTATTAGGTTTAGGGGGCAATTACTTTTTCACCCAGGGCCAGGTAGCTTTGAATAGTTTTTTCCTTAATAAATAAAATCATCATTTAAAAACTGCATTTTGTGTTAATTTGGGTTATCTTTATCTGATATTTACATTTGTTTGGTGATCTTAAACATTAAAGTGGGGAAAATAGACAAAAAAATAAGAATTTGAGAAGAGGGCAAATACTTTTTCACGGCACTCTATATTTCATACACAGTATACAGAACATGAAGATTTGAAAAACACAAGCCGTTATCAGCATCAGCTACTCTGTGAGTAGAATAAAATGAAATGAAGCAGATTTTGTAAACTCACAGCATTTTCTGTCTCTGTCTGTGACAGTCTCTTCAGCAAAGTGTCCTTTTGCTCTGACAGTCGGATTGACTCCATCTGCTTGAATCCAGTCCACCAACACACATGAAAGTTAGTCCCTTTGCTTAGCAAACATTTACTATTTACTACTGCTGAGAAGCTATTAAGACACAGAGGACAGGCAATATGACAGAGTCCAGACCATTTCTGTTCTTCAGCCATTACATTTGAAATAAAATAATGGATATTACATTAAAGTATTCCATTTGAATGAATGAATTTGAATAGATCACTATAGAAAGAACAATGATGAAGATTTCTTTTTTCATACATAGCGCCTAAATTACAAAGCTTCCAAAGTAACTGGACACACTGCTTACTAAAGGTTTCTTGGGCTGCAGTGTAGCTAAGATGTGGCTCAGAGATGACCAAGAGTTAGACTGAAGTGGAATTGTCTCTCAATAAGGGTAAAGAGGTGACCATGCAAGTGAAGAAGGTCCCAATAAGACTAAAGAGAATCAGTCAGAGGTGGTTGGATTGCCAAAATAAACAGTTCAGTTCATTCTGAAAAAGCAGGAGGTCACAGGAAAAATAGGAAATGACAAATGAGACTGTAGCCCAGATAGGACAAGCATTGGAGACAAACAGAAAATCATTCTCATGGTGATGAATGGTGATGAAGTTTATCAAGAAGGCTCTCCAAAACGTTTTCAGGTCAACAAATGAAGATTCAAAAACAGAAAGCTTTTGGTATGTTTTTGTGGGTTATCTCATTAAATTCAAAGCACTTTCCACAAAATAAGAAATATGAATATGACTATTCAGTTTGTTAAAAGGCAATTTCTCCTGTCAGTGTTTTATCTAGTGTTTTATTTCAAATTGAATGTGCTGAAGCAATGCACCTGAAGAATAGTAAATGTGGAACTGTCCAGTTACTTATGGCCGGGGCTATGCCACGCTATAATGAGACAATATTATCACAGGTATATCTCTACCATCTATTCAATCTTAGCAATCCTCTCAATTCAATGTAGGATAAACGACTGTGTCCACACCACTCTTCCCTATAGCAGGACTGATCTTGACAGTTTATCTAAAAGTTTCAACCTAAACATTAAGGGCCATATTTATGAAGGCGTTTATGCAGATTCCACAGTTTGCTCCGAACTTGGCTTGAGCAACAGTTTATGTGACGTTTTTGTTAACCAAAGGATCCCTCTCTCTCCAAATAATTTAACTGTAATGTTGAGAAAATGTCTGCCTCGAATGACACAATGACATTCAAATATGAGACAAAGTGGGCTGATTACAGAAACCATACAAAGCAAGTTCAGCAGGGAGCACTGTGCATCTGAAGGCTACAGTGATTCCTGTACGAGGTGTGTCAGAAAAGACATATTTAAATCCTAACTACAAACTACAAGTTTTCCCCTTCAAAGTAATCCCCCTGGAGTCTAACCGCCTTCTCTGTCACGCCGCCATGCACTCCTGGAAGGATTCTTCCTCCGCAGCTCTGTCGTCACAGCCATCTTGATGTCGTCCACGTCTTCTAAACGGGTCCCCCTGATGACCTCCTTGAGCTTGGGGAAGAGGAAAAAATCCCCACAGAGCCAGGTGGGATGAGTAGGGAGGTTGCTCCAGCACGGCGATGTTCTTCTCAACCAGGAACTGTCGGATGCTCAGGGCGTTGTGAGCAGGCGCGTTGTCATGGTGAAGCAGCCACGACTTGTCCTGCCTCTTTTTTCGCTCACTGAATGAAGCAAATGCTGGATCTCTTTGTAGACATGCTGGTTGATCGCCTGAAGGGGAAAACTCGTAGTTTGGGTTTGAAATATATCTTTTGTGACACCAGTCCTGGAACTTTTCTGACACACCTCGTATACAGCTCAACATCTGATTCCCTGTTGCATACCCTGGTGGTGAAGATGAACGCAGTGTTTTGATAATGTATCACACACAGTACCTGCAATCCATGCTGCTCTCTGAGAAGGTGCCTCAGTGTTCGGTTTGTGGCCTCAAATGTCTCCAGTTTCTGAAGCAACAGCTCTTTCTGACGGGCCAAGAGTAAAGACTCGGTGCCAGACAGCTTCTTTACCGGGACACAGAAGGAGATAGAAGAACAAAGGTCTGAGTACAGACAAATCACTGAATTGCATCATATAACACTGTATAACGTTAATTAAAAAGCAACATGTTTTTTAAAGTTCACATGTTTCTAAAGTGCACTGAATCTTAGAGGGCACAGAAATAGAACTATGCTGAGTTAATACTCACAGCACTACCAACACTGCACAGTTTGGACACAGACTCTCGCAGGTCTGACACCTGCTTGGCAGCTGCTGCTCCGTCCACCTCAGCCTCCATCAGTTTCCTGAGCAGAGCATCTCTGTCCTGTTGCATGCTGTCTCTGTCTAGTCTGCAAAGACAAGACACAAACAAAATGCCTTTGAACAGAAATTATGTCTGATCATTTTTAATACAGGATTTCCTCTATGTGACTCTGAGACACCGACACAGAAACGAAAACCAGACGGACATTCTGAATTTCCATCCATCCATCATCTATACACTGATTTATCCTCTGCAGGGTCCGGGGGGCTGGAGTCTCTCCCAGCTGACTCAGGGTGAAAGCACGATACATCCTGGATGGGTCACCAGTTCATAACAGGGCAAGAGAGAGACACAAACAACCAAGCACACTCACATTCACACCGATTTAGAATCACCAATTAACCTCAGCATGTTTTGGGACACCCGGTGAAAAACCATGCAGGCACAGGGAGAACATGCAAACTCTACACAAGAACAAGAACACCTTCTAGTTGAAAGGTGACAGTACTTTCTAAATCCAAATTCCTCAATCTACACTTACCACTACGTCTGACTTAAAGATCAGTGCTGCGTTCACTTGGTGTCTCAAACTAGGATCAGTTGGCTCACATCCAACTGGCCAAGAATTCTAACAGTGGCAAACATGTAAAGCAATATGTAGCAAGAATGCTTGACTCAGTGACAATGAGCTGATATTTACTGACAAATACACAAAAATCTGGCTGCTGTTTGTGCACTTGCAACAACAACAACAACAGTTTCACCGGGTATAAATCTCCTCATGTCCCTTCTCACAGGCCAACAGCTTGGTGCTTCACTCAATCACTATAGGCAAAATCTAATAGTAAGCTTGTGTAATTTGCCAAATTATGTTGACTCTATCCATCTATTCATGATAAGCTAACAGCAGATGTAGCTGTAAAATAGTCATTTGTCCTTTAAACTGCACGTTATGCAGCTAAAGTCTAAGCTATTTCCCAAGAGAGGGTGTTTCTCGTGTACAACACTATGAAATAGTTTGATATCATATTTGCCTGTTACAGTCTGTCTCCTCCAGCATCTTTTCCATGGACTGGCGTAATCGTGTGTTCTCCCGCTCTGTCTCTTCCAGCTCCTTGGTCACCTCAGCCAGCTCCTCCTCCTGCTCGGCGATCACCCGCTGGGAAACACACAGTTGCTCTGACTGGCGCTCTAGCAGCTGTTCCTTCTTTCGCAGTTCCACCTGAAAATATATAGTGCATATGTGCAAATGTACACGTGAACAGACACACAAACAAACAGACAACAAACCCATTTTTAGATTTCATACATGACTTGGTTTCACTATATATTTGTCAGCTTTTGTACTCATATACAGCCACACTCAGTTTCACATACTGCAACAAAATCTTGCTCGATCCCTCATTTGAGACTTCATTTGTGTGTTTTCGCTGTCTGGGTTACCACTCCACTCCACTTAGACGGGTATGTGACACTGAAAGTGTCACAAAATCACACATTGGGATACATTATTTGAAATAATAATAAAAACATAAGCCAAATGATCTAATAAGTATAACAATATATGTCAAACCTGCCTGTGGCTTTTGGTCTAATAGTGGCCTGATAAAGAGTGGGATTTGTGAGACGGAGACAAGCTAAGTCCAAAGTGAAAAAAGGGGAGAAACTAACCTCATTTTTCAGAGAGCTTACTTCAGTCAGTAAGCTGTCAATCTTCCTCTCATACTGGCTGATTCGTCCGTGTAAGCCTTCCTCTTCCTCTGACGTAAGGTCAGCCAATCGCAGGGCAGACTGGGACTGCTCAGGTTCCGTTTCAGGCAGTGGTGGGATAATCTCAAGACAGTGCGTCGGTCCCTTGGTGCAAAACACACTCTCAGTAGCACTACATCCTTAACTTGATTAATTCTTTCACATTTCTGAGGCAAAAACTGTTTTTTTTTTTTAAATCGGCAGAGGATGGGAATGGGGCATAATTTTCCTTTATGACATGTTACCTCCCACTTGTATGATGCATCCCGTGTTGAGGTCTTTCCTGGTGGTTTCCATGGCACAGACGTTTTGACCTTAGCTGTTGGACGAAGATTTCCTCTGTCGTCTTTGGTTTTCCCCTTTTAAACACATTTTGTGTACAGCAGCATGTCATTGCTGTGTGTCAGGCCTTTTTATGCTGCAGAATAGCTACACTATGAATAAATTAAACCCTTAATGTCCTAAGAATTACGACTGAAACCGACGACTATTTGAATGGGTGACCAGTCCATTATTTCCTTGAATAAATGATTTGTTGTTTGGTCTATAAAATGCCAGAAAACTGATGAAACTGATGAAAATATGACAAATTTTCCAAAGATATTCAGTTTAGATTCAGTTCAGATATTCAGGGAAAAAAACACACTGTATTCACATTTAAGTAGCTGGGATCAGAGAATTTGGACTTTTTCTCTTTGACAAACAGCTCCACTATAAATAAAACGAGCAGAATGAGATTTCAAAACTCATAAGCAAGAAATAAGAAAAAAAAAAAGATAACATCAAGGAGACACACAACTTTAAAAGTACTTTACATTCACAACAAAAATCACTGAAAACACTAAAATTGAAACACATTACTGGCAAACAAAGCTGGTCTCTAACCTTGGATGTCCTGACAGGATTTGTTCCCTGGCTCTTCACATGTACATGTACAGGTGTGGTGTCATTGACGTGCACATGAATTGGAGGAGAACCTGATCGGGTTCTCATTGCTTTCCTCTGTGAAACAGTGAATGATTACAACCAATCAATGCAGGCGTCCACATCAAAACTTATAACAGAAAATGGTTTTTAAGCTGAAGATATGAGTGATGAGGAAAAGAACAGTCAGGAATGTGTGCGAGCACAAGGAAAAGAATTCCACATAAAATACAGGAAATTTGAGTATCATTTGATTGCCTAAGTTTTGACCGTTTTCCTATGAGGTGGTTATGAAGTTATTATTGCATTTCAATATATTTAGTAGTACTGGGGTTGCATCTGCTCAGATAATGGTGCAATTCCTGTTTCGTTAAAAGGGGCTAAAGATTAATGCTTAGAATCTGACAGGCAAAACCAGTAAGTATGGCTGAAAAATGTTTAAGTTTAATTGCATTTGTATGCTTTAACGTATTTGATCTTCCTGAAGAAGAATATTCTGTCATATATTTATGAAAAACCACAACCAAAAAACAACGGAATACACTTACAGAATCAGTTTCTGCATTAAAATATAACTCAGTTAGGTTTCTGAAATCTACACAAATGATCACAACTAGAGATTCCGACTTGAACACATGAACTGGCAACGATTTATAAAGAAACTGGTTTCAGATGGATATAGCAGGTGGAATCAAAAGGCAACTCAGCTTAGCAAGAAGCATACAGTATAGTCGCCTGTCATTAGCCTTAGCTTATTAGCAAAACCTGACAGCAGCATTTCAGTCCCTGTGCAATTAATGAACAAATTCTCCATCTTACCATAAGAGAAACCAATAAAAACTCTTCAGCGTCTAAAAATGTAGTTCATTAGCAGGACAGCGTTTGTGGTTTAACAAGCAAAATAAGCAGGTTAGCATAAAAAAGTCTGCTGGAGTGGAAACTTCAACAGGTAGTGAAGCTAGCTCTCTCGCTGATTGGTCCGTTTAAAGCATGTGACATCTTTGTCCAACAGTGATTGGACCAGAGTGGGACGTTCAAACGTTCCTTAGCAACGCACTCGACTCAACAAGCTCGTGTGCTTTATAGACATACCCCGGAACAGTCACCACTAGTAAAGCTGATTCAATCAACTTTAATCCATTTAATTTATTTTACCCACTGCTACCACAAGCTGCCAGTACAGACCTAAACAATAATGTGGACAGACGTCAGAGGAATTGAATTAAATGTAGTTATGTAGTATGCCAATGCAAACACTGGAGGGCGCTGAAGGAACATGAAGTCACAGTTGGTGGTCTCGTGCTGTCAGCTCACCGTAGTCCAAGTTACCATGGTGGTGACAGCTGCATTGACATTTAATCCTTTTATGTGCGATGCCCAATACAAAGGACAACTATTCAAACTTCAAATAAAACCACTTTACTCACAATAATAGTGCCAGTTCACAACACGTCATCTCACAGCACTTCACACAGTAAGGTGAAGACCGTAGGAATTATAAACAGAGAACCCAATAATCCAAAGTTGCCTTTTGACTCCCTTTAAGAAAGCAGTCAGTGATGGTGGGGAGGAACCAAAAAAACAGAACAGAGAATATTTTTGGAGGTCAGTGAGGCCAGCGGCTGCAGATCAGACTTGAAGCTTCAGATCCAGAGACGTCTGCAGAGAGAACAAACACAGGACCTCGGGGGAAACACAGAGTTCGTGACATGTAATGGTGATATATAAATGTATGGAAGAAAGAGGGAGTTTTGTCTATAAAAAAACCCCCAGCATGAGTCATTTTATCATATCATATTTTGAAATATAAATAACATTTCAGATTGTGCAAACTGCAGAGTGGACTAATGTAAGTAATAAAATGCAAAGGTTCCATCTCTATAAGTAAAATGTTACCTGTAAGCTGTGCTTTCCAAAATGGACGTCAGTTCCAGTTTTATTCCTGTTTATTTTCTGACAGTGATAAAAAAATGTTTACAGTTATAAAAACTAACAAAAATATTTAATTCATAAAAATCTTAAAATAAAGCCACCAAAACTAAAACAAAAATTTCAGGGAGACCTTTTTATCGCAGGGTTGTTATATGATCTACGGTACAGTGTATACAGTGAACAAACTTTATCTGATAGCAATAAAACGGAATAACAACATCCCAACAGAATAATATGCATCATTAATATCTGTATTATTATTATTATTGCTTTAGGGCTGTGATCACACTGTGGTCTAACACCAACCATGTTCCATACTAACAAACTAAATAGAAAGGGAGCAGTGTAAAGAACAGGTGTATCTTCACCTGGGTCGTATCCATGCATCATGTGGCCGTACAGCAGTGGAGCTGTAGGACATGAGATTCACAGACTGTTCTTCAAAACCATCATTGATTCTAACTGCTGAATTAACGTTTTCTATATAAAACAAAATAAAGAAATCTGAGTAAACTAGTTGACTAATTAATTGGTATGAGTTCAAAGACATTCAAAGATGTGGCTCAAATACTTTCTCTTTAACATGATTGCTTTTCTAAACATGCATAGGACCAGCCTCTATGCTTCAATGTTTTGGACACTTATGAAGTTGAACATGTTGTTCCGCTCCCAGTCTTTTCTTCATCTTTGCCGTTATTTGAAACTATCTGCGACAAAGTAGTGCATTTAAACATCCTTCCCAGCCCCAGTAAAGACACAGATCAGTCCTTTAATGAAGCCAAATGTTCTTTTCTTTATTGGCTCCATCTGACAACACACCGAAAAAAAAAGCCCCCATCTGATACAATAATTGATTTCAATCATTGCTAAGATGGGAAAGTGATAATACACCAGTCTTTGGCACTTTCTATTCTAAACAAACATGCTGCTTACAGAGATAATCATTTGTTCATTTCTTTTTTCTTTTTTTTTTTTAAACTGAAATATTGAAAATACATTTGACAGTTTGACACTGAATGATAATCACAACAAGCAAGTCACACATGTTGCTATAAAGGAGGGCTGCACCCATCTTTTGGACATTTTTACAAGTATAAAAATGTAAAAAGAAACCCTGCATATCGGGGGAAGAAAACAGGATTGATCAGTCGGCAGTTATTTGTGATGTGTTCCCAAGAGGCATGGTCTGCATTCTCTGTGGTAGTGGGTCCTTTACATGAAGCAGCAGCCTTTGTGCTTGTGCACCCATGTCAAAAATAAGGTTATTTCTTGTGCTCTGGTGGATTCTAATACTGGTTATGCAGGGCGAGCACTGATTTACCCCTACGGCTGGTCTTGAAAAATCCGTGTTGGGCTCTCTGCTTCTTATATGCATCTCATTGTATGAACGTTGGAAGTACAAAATGGCAGCTTTAGTTAAAAAAAAAAAAAAAAGATTGTGTGACACTGCAACAGAACTCTAACATTTGCTGGTTATGTTTAATGTAGGTGAAACATTAGATTTTCATACCTCAAATTCAGCAAGATTTTTTTTCTAATAAGGCAAAATCGGGCTACTACACATTTAACACTTGACATATCCTTGAACAGCGGACAGCTTGTAAACGTTGTATCGTAGGTATAGTAAAGGCAATGGCAGCAAAGGAGAGAGGAAAGCCGTAAGTAGGGTTTTTGTCTTGTGTGTGTGTGTGTGTCAGTGTCCACCCTGCATAAGGCTTTACAATCCTGTATGAATACATAACAGCATCAACTCTGACAACTTATAGTCACTTCAGACTATCCACAAGATGTGCTCAAGCTTGTGTGTACAACTTTACACGACTTGTTTTGTTTTCACAAGCTACAGTGAGCACACCCCTGTTCAATATTACTTATACGTCTAATTATTCCACAGTGTATCACCTCACAGTAATTGTGTTAGTTCTTAGCAGAACAGGAGGCATTTGCTCTAATTTAAAGTTGACCCTATTTTTATTTTATTAAAAATACAGGCCCCACAGGAGGAACTGAGTGCAGTCTCATTACTGAGATTCAGATCATTTTCAGCACTTTGTATGTCCATCTGTGCTTCTGATGACAGACTCAGTTCACCTCACCAGTGTATAGCACACATTATAATTACTGATTACTGTTGCAACCATGTTTTTTTTTATGGTCAGTGATCTTGTATCTTCCTCTAAGTTTTACAATCAGATTTTCTGCTCATTTTATAACCATGCAACAGCTGACTGGAAATTACAGGTGGACTCAATTTCATGTCACAGATTGTCTAACTTGTGATCAGTGTTGCATTGAGCTGCTACTATAATGCTTTCTAAAGTAGTTGCTTTTGTTGTTTATATAAGACAACACCGTTCAACTTGCAATCATTAGGAGGTGATACAATTTCAAATAATTTGACATTTAATTGATCAAACTTCACAGGGGTGTCCTCACGTCTGGTATATGTCGTTGACAAAGCGTATCCTTTTTGCACAAGTTAACATCTTGTTCAAAAATTATTACTATGTTAATATCTTGTTCACACAGATTAACATTTCATTTGCACTTATCTTAATTGCACAGGCAATAGTTTGATTGTACCATAAACTATGTTCTTTCTTTCCCCCAAAATGTACATCCTGTTTGCAGAGGCCATCTCACATATACAAGTGATCTGGTTCGTAAAAGTTATTTTGTTTAAACAAGCTGATATTTTGTTCACACAACTTAGTTTGTTGCACAATTTACTTATTGTCTTGTTCTTACATGCACATGTTTCTATCCTGTTCACACAAGCTAATATTCTGTTAACATCCTATTCTCACAAGCTATCTTGTTCACACAGATTGATATCTTGCTCATGTGAGTCGTTTTTCTAATATCTTGCTTGCACAAGCTATTTTATTTATACAAGTTAAAGTTAATATGACTTTTACACAAGCTATTTCCTTGTGTGCACAACTTAACATGTTACACTGTATAAAAATGTGCACACAAGATTCATCACCAGGACCTTTGCACTAAAAAGAACTTTCGGCTTCCAGGACTTTGGGGGCTGTCTAACAGGCTACTCTAATACACCCATCAAATGATGTGATGCAGGACAGGCCATTTGCATCATACAGAATAAATTCATGCTATTGCACCATGCTCCATATGCTGCTGGGTAGCTTATGTAAAAATAAAAACATGAAGTAAGAAACTAATAATCACTCATATGATGCATAATCTCGTTTCAAGAAGTGTTAGGCTGTAACAAAAGTACAACTTATAACAAATAGTTGCCTGTACTTATGATCCCACTGGTGCTACATCATAAATTAACTGGTTGGGTTAATGGCGGTGTTTTAAATGTGAAGCACAGAAACATCAATACAGCAAATACATCTTAACAGAAGCTTAAAAAAAAGAAAAGAAAAGAAAAAAAGCATATATATATGATCAGAGAACAGTGGCCCCTCACTGTTTAGGGTTATCTCCCACTAGATAATGCTCATTTTCTGTAATGATGTTATATCTTTTGTGTATTTTCAGATCTGGGAACACACCATACAATAACATGTTATAACACACATGACTTTTTTTTGGAGGTAACAAACTTATCAACATGCAATGTCTGATGATTTCAATGTCTTAATTTCTTTCTTCTGCCCTGGTTGATATCCAAACAGGTTTTTTTTGTTTTGCTTTGTTTTAGTTGTAGAAATGGTATTAAAAACAAAACAAAACATGAATTGTGTTACAATCCCTGCTCACAGCGTCATCCTAGAGCACCGCTGTCTAAGAGACAAGGACTTCTAATTCTTTCACACATGTAAATACACGTTATTGCTGCCTACTCAACCCTTTTACAGAATACAACCAACATGCTTGACACATTCCAGGCAGAAGCAGTTTAAAAAGAAAGCACTGCAGATGAAAGGTTCCTATAGGAAAAGGTTTGAAATCACTGACCCACACTGCT